AAAGAATCGCATATCTCCTGACCATGCACAATATGTGTGTGTACCAATATACAAGTATAACTCTGTAACATGAAGAGACCTCCCTTCATAATAATACAATAAATAAGTACTTCAACAACAATCAATATCCTGCACTGAGATGCCTCCCATGAGAGATGAAGGGAGAAAGCTTGCCCCAATCCATGGAACCAAAACTAACTTGAAATGCCTACCACGTTCCGCATTGATTTTTCTTTGATGGAAAACTACGCATTATTTGAGTTCCATATAAATTGTGCAAAATCTAGTTAACCCTCTGTTATGAACCAACTAAACAAAGTGAAGCAAACACAGTAACAGAGAGAGAGAGAGAGAGAGAGTGCTTGGCCAAATTGAATTCAATCAAGTAAATGAACTAAAAGTGGAAGACAATACCATAACCTCTAGCGGTTCGAGAGTGCTAGAACTCGCCCAAAAGAACTCACTAATTTTTTGCGTGCTCTACACCACCTACATCAACCCTCTTTATACTAATTATTTATTCTAAGAAGTACCCAAACTATCCCTTCTTAACTATTCTAGAATCACTTAGGAATGGGCTTGGGCCTCTAGATGGGTGCATGACACCTCCTCCATGAACAGAAATTAACCAAAACCTTCAATAATAGGTATGGGAATGGGTCTCGACCCATCGGGGAACTTGGTCCACCCATCCCGATCAAGGATGGGCTAAACTGGGGATGTAGATGGGGACAAGGATCCTTGTTTGTCTCAAACCTAGAATAGGGACAGAGACAGGTATCACAGTCCCTGCCTCGTACCCGTACCCGTTATATATATATATATATATATATATACATATATATATACATATATATATATATACATATATTATTTCGACTAAATCGGTAATTTATAATTTCTTGTTTCCTAACTAGGTTTAGGATCTAAAATTGTTATTTTTTTGGATGTTGGTATGGAATATTTTAGATGTCAAGTCAAAATATAATTACTTGATATGTTTTGGATACTACCCATTATGGTTATGTATTACTCGATATGTTTTGGTACGTGTGACATTAAGTTCTTTGGATTCAATTGTTGAATTTCTTTTCGTTTTAGGTTATTAATTATTATATGATGTTGTGAATTCTTTTGTATTAAATTAAATTCATTTTGATATTAGGTTTATTGGTAACATGTGAAATTTAAACATGTGTGGTCTCTCACATATTTGATATAAAACAACTTACATAAACGGGGAAAAAATCTCCGCTTCCCCTTTGGGGACGGAGATGTGATCATATTCCTCAACGGGGACGGAGATGAGGAATCGGGGACGGGATGGCCCCATTCCCATGCCTATTCAACAATGATGGAGTGTGCAGAATAGATCATCTGTGTCTATTCACAGTTGCCTCAGCAGCCAGTACTACATTGACCAGGCCGGACCAATGCACTAAGGATCATGGGGGCATCACTATGCCTTTAAGCATCAATAAACAACATTTCTAAATTTATTTCTCATCCTCATAAGAGGGCTATTTGAGAGAGAAACCTTGTCATACACTGAAAAGGTAAGACTGATAATTTAAAAGACAGCCAACTAGGATAGCTAGAAGTGGCTAAAACCAGGTAAATGTCACAAATGGCTTGTTGTATGCTGTAATATAACAAAACCCCTGCAAGTATATAAAGGTTAAAAACCTTATTCAACTTTAGAGGTATTGGTTTCCTTTCAATGTGTGTTCTTTTATTTTACGTAAAAATAACTAAGAAGGCATTGTTCGTGAATCTCTTAGATGTCATATGATCACTTCTATCTCTAAGAACATTACCATTGACCTTTCATCATAATTTCCCTCGACAAGCATAGGTGGAGGAATCTTAGTTATTCAATTAAAATGCATATCTTCATAAATTCTATCCAGAAGACGACTCATTTTGCATCATGCTGTCATAAGTATATGAACATCTTAAATGAAAACATATGAATCCTAATCGTAAAATTAAAAATGCTTGCCTGAAAAGTTTTACTGCTGTCGCTATCAATAATAAGGAAAAGCGGCTTTCTCGTAAATGGAAGCAAGTCACAAGGACAAATCAGATTAAACCCTGAAATGGAAGCTGTTGTTAGACGCAGATCTTTGATGCTAGAAACATCATGACTCTATCAAAGAACACATCAAATATTGTCAAGTGAAAATCTTATACAACATTAGTAAGACTTTTATCCCAAACTACTGAAAAATGAAACCAAATAACTTGTAAAACATAAACCCAAAAGTAAACATGAAGGGGTGATCCCCTAGAGGTTCCCCGGACATAAATCGTGTCCTTCCATGCACTTTTATCCAATGCAACCCCTGATGCATGTCCCTTCACTACTTCCCTCATGTCAATCTTGGCCGACCTGTATCTCTCCTAATGACCTCCTGCTTATACAAAAATGCTGATAGTTTAAGACTTATTGAAGTCCATAACTTATTAGTTGTGTCATATTACAACGTTTATTTGGAACAGAATGGTTAATTGGTAAACCGCCAGCCATATGATTTCCACATTAAGTCAATCATTTTTACCATCATACCCTCTATTTTTTATACCCTTCCCTCAAATGATTTCTCTGTCCTAAAAGCCGAAAACCTACACACAAGATCTCTCCACCACCTGCTGCTGCTCCACCGCCTCCCTTATGCCGATGTTGCTGCTCCCCAAGCCTGCTGCCTACTGCTGTCTGTCGCTACTGCTCTCCGCTGCTGCTGCCCACAGCTGAAACACTATATATTCATATAGTTTGCTTTAAAAGGCTGTGTTAGGGTATATGTGAAAGATATGCATTCTAACAATTTGCTTCGTATGATTTGTTTATCTTCTTCATCAACAATGTGTTTGCTGAATACCCATTTGGATATAAAATTGTAATTTTCGATACACTTTGGGTTTTAGGAATGATGGATTTATTGTTCTAGTTTCTTTCATAAATGAAATTTGATGTTCCAGAATTAATCAATCAAACACAAAGATATCAAGATCACAACAATGGTTAATAATGCCAGACTTAAGAAGTGTAGAGAGAGAAAGTTCTTCAAAGGTCTTTGTATATTGATCTTCAAATCTTACAATGCAGGAATAAAAAGTTACTCTAAAATTACAAGACAACTACACTATTTATACTAAGGAAATACAAGGAAATTTACAAAGCTTGAATACAACAATTAAGCATACAACTTTGAACCCAACAAACTTGGTGAAGACACGTTTGGATTTGAAATTGTCATTTTTATTTGGGTGTTCGAATGATGGGCTTGTTGTTCTTGTTTTAAACACAGGGATAAAAGGCAACTTTCAGCCTTTTCAACTATTCATTCAACATATAAAACAAACAATAATAGTTCATTTATCACTTACTCTAGAAAAACCTCTTTATCCGGACAGACCTCTTTATCCATAGCGGTGAAAGCTTGTTTATTAATCTCTTACCACCTCGGGTAAGAGGCTCTTACCTTGGTAAGACATGAGTTGTTTACCCCCAAAAAAAATGTCCTCGTATCAGAAATTTATCGTTGACCGAGCTCTTACCTCTCCGGACAATGGGCACATCAAAGTGGTCGCGAAGTCGCCAAATTTCAGACCTACCAAACAAACAAACAGTTAGTAATAGAACTTCGACAATTAGGGTTAAACATTTTAGAATTTGAGTTCAGGAGTTGACAACGAGGAGAGGTCGTAATTCCAGCTCGGTCCACTGTCGCAGCTGCCGATCCAAGCCATCACAGTTGATGTGCCACTGTGCTTTCACCTATACCTTCCATTCCTCTGCAAGATGAAGTCGTTACACTTACCGCACCCCAGCATCCTTTAGCCATATCACCCAAACAACCCACACGACCATCACCAATAGCCTCTATCACACTTCCATCCCCGTAATCTATCCACCTCAACAACTCATCCAAATATATCCTTTCCCAACAGACAATATCAGGTTCCATCTCAAGGGTGTGTTTGTAACCTTCAATCTCAACCCCCATCTCCCTTTCTCAACAAGATTGCTCACAAAAGGGCACCAGGTTTTGTGCATGAATGAGCATCAGTTCCGTTATAACCTTCATTGTTGGTCATTCGTCCACTTTTGACTTGGGGTTTTAAAATAACCTAAGTACGTGTAAATTTTTGTTTCTAATTCTTTATTTATTTGGAGTAATTGTTTTTAATATTTTTTTATATTTATTCTCCAAGCCAAAAATCCCAATTCTTAATTATTATTTTTTATTTTTTCTTCACTCTCCATTTGTCGTTGTTATCATATCAACAAGCTAAGTAATGTTCCTCTTTGATTCCTCTGCTCCAAATGTTTATAAGCACATTGATTAGATAACTTTGATTATTCAGTGTTTTTTAATTTTCTATTTTTAATGATTATTTTATATAAGTTCCTTTAATTATTTAATGAATTTAGAATTTGTTTTGTTTTGTTTTTGTCGGTTATTTTATATGTTCTTTGGAACTTTTTAAAGTTTTGATGTTAGTGTTTTTTAACGGTAGGTTTACAAAATGTTTTGTTTAATATGTGTTTATGAAATTACCCATTATGATTGTTTGATTCTACATTAAATATGATGTCTTCAGAACTAGGATATTTGAATCGAGTTATTTTGAGCGTCAAAAAAGAAAAAGAGATAAACAATTGTTAAAGGTCAACGAGGAACCATCAATCAATTTATTATCAAACAAACGTCAGTGTCGTAAAAAATAATATAATAAATAGTATAATTATAACAATCAAGGGCCACATTTAGCTCATCGCACAGGGATTCCGAATTGTCAGTGCTGGCTCCGATTCTCCTTTTGTTTTTCTAATCTTCAACATTGTTGAAGACTATTTTAATCAATTCAATTATCTTTTTGCCAAAAGATTGATGACATTGGTCATCAATGCAACCTAAATACTAAAGAAATAATTATATCCTATTTCTACCAAAGGTTTTGATTTAATGACATGTAGAATGAACACCCAAGAAGCATATGTCATAGTTCACTCCACTGCATGAATGCATGTGTAAAACTACCACCCTGAACTCCATCATTGTGGATCTTGACCAAAATATACTGAACGATACGCGATGTAAAGAAGATAGAAAAAGAGATGGTTCAGAAATGACTGCCTGAGGCTCTCAGTTTAACAGATAATAAAGAAGAAAGAACCAAAGATTGCACAAGGATAAACAAGAGCAAGGAAATCGTACACCATGTTAGACTGAAGAAAGAGAGATGGAGTAATGTGCGAACTCAATCCTGAAAGTTGTGTGTTTAAAACTTGGAACCAGGCTAGGCAAAGCAGGTAACAGTAAAAGATTACTTCATCTGTAATTGCAACCCAAAAACTTTATAGATCAGTAAGTGTACCTCCATTTCCACAAGAGCCAAGATTTAAGCCACCAGAATGGCAACCTGAAATGTTGCTTTTCTCTAACGAAGATGTCATGCTATCACATGCAGAGCAAGATGGCAGGGTAGAGACAGAATCTGATTGAATCATATTAGGCTGTATGCTATTGATAGTGTTCTCCGTATCACCAATGTAATTTCCCATGCGGGCTGGAGACATCAAAGCATGTGCAACACTTCCTAAAAAGTTTTATATTGCATACATGAGCAATTTGGCAAAAGAAAAGGCAAAAGTATGAGATGTTATGTTACCCGAAGCAAATATGTATATCAAGAAACCCCATCAGGAGGGACCTCCTCAGACATAGTGGCCAGAACCTGTCATCAAGAACAAGATCAGCATGCCTTACAAGCTTCGGAATAACACATATCTATCAATTTCTTTAAGCTTTTGACTAGCATATTCCCATTTAGGAGACGACTGAACATCATAGCACCACGTTGCACCCAGCATACAAATTGATTTATTCTAACATATTTGATACATATGAGATGGTAAACTTTGCAATGCTTGCAATTATAGTATATCAGAACATACAGTTGCTGAGACTGGAACTTTCCAATTAGGGATACTCTTAACACTGAACAAAAATAATCTCAGCAAACACTAAGAAACTTATCCAAGGGGGAGCTTGAAAATGAAGAAAAGAAAGCAAGCGGTATTCATAGAAAAATTAAAAACCAGCCCCATCTAACCCCTTAAAATATTACATTACATTCAAATAAGTGGGGGCCTCACCTATAAACTACACTCTATAACTGTATGAGTTCAATTTTATGTGGTGCAAATAACTCCACCAGTAAGAGCATCTTGGTTGAGCAAGTTCAGCCAATCTTACTTCAGAAGAACAACCTGAAGTGCTTCTGAAAGTGCGATTTATTGTTGTATAGATCATTATTGTCACAGCATCTCATAGAATCCCCACATGTTCTACACAAACGACAGAAGTAACAGCAAAGAGAAGCCACTCCTAGGTTATACACTGACAGCGATGAAATGTGTGATCGATGGACGATACAAGACTGCTTTGGGAGTATTTGGTGGCAATGTAGGACCAACCGTCTCCTGAGAATAATTAATACGAATAGACCCTGGAAGGCCCCCATTTTGACCAGTGTTGGTCCCAACACCAGTAGAAGTGATTCCACTTGATTGGTAAAATGAGCCGCTGGGTTCCCACTCCAAACATTGAAGCATTCTGAAATTATCAAGAGTGAGCTCTGAGAACTTAACCTGAATAACAAAATGCAAAAGAACAGAAGACATACAGCTCAGAACTGAATGCAGTTTGGACTGCATAATGAAAACATTCCTGCAAACTCCACTTAGAAACGGATTGTTTGTCACTACTAAACATTAAAATAACTGATGACTAACCTCATTGGGATGGTAGCTGCAAAGTATCCCATCTCTCAATCTTAGCTTTCTTTTGGTGCAGGCAACACATGGTAGACAATCTGGATCGAGATCCATCATAATGCTGTATCTCAGATGCCTGATATTCATAAAAGCTGTGTCCACTTTAAGAATTTTAGTTATGTCCCGAATCACCTGCTTCCATTCCTTGAAGTCAGTTTCCTGCAAATAGGTCATCTCAAGGTCATTCCATTTATCCACTCAAGGAAGATGCATCTTTTATCCATGTGTTACTTGTCTAGCCTGGAATCAGAAGTGGTGTAAAGGTGTAAACAATGTTATCTTTCTGTTAGACTTATGCATGGGCCTTGACCCGGTTTAATAGCTAAGGAAGTATTTGTTCCCTATGTTTATGGGAATAACTAAATGACTAGGGAGGCACAAAAATTATTTGTCAGGTCTATTATTCATCTTCTAGGGTTTTAGAAGAGATGACCGACCTCTCAAAGTCGGCCAACCACTTCTTTTGTTACTACCTATTTTCACTTAATAAAAAATGTTACTCTCAAAGTCAACCTTGGCCCAGTTTAATAATTAGGAAGTGCGTATTCCTTATATATAGGGGATTAACCAAATCAGTGAGGCAGATAAATTATTTGGTAAGTCTGTTATTGTTTTCTGGTTTTAGGAGAGACGGCTGACCTCTCGAAAGTTGGCCAACCACTTTGTTTTGTAGCTATTTATTTTCATTCAACAAAAATTGTTGGATCCTAACACTTTCATGCATAGATTTTAAAGAAAATACAAGTACAAAGAGAGTTTAAGCTAAATGGCGAAGCAAACGTATCAAGGTAGAGGATTGCTATCACGACAAAGGCAAGAAAGAAAGACCAAAGGAAAAGGAAAGGTGAAGAGGGTGTAGGGGTTGGTTCAAATCAGCAAGAGTCTGCTCTCATTAGAAGAAGAGAGATCAATACCTTCTAACCTCGATTTATTTTAAGGAGGGAAATCAGTTGGCATAGTCGTGTGCTGTCAAACCAACTTAAGTAATCTACCTTTTGAAATACTAGATGAATCGTAGCAATGGAATAATTAAGTCATAGTTCATTGGTTTGAGTGCATCGAAAAAACCCTCCACTTCAATTGGTATAATTTCACGAAAAGCCGACATGAGATAACAAATCCATTGTTTCACTAAGATTTTGAATAGTGGTCCCGAATTCGTTTATAATGGACAGGGCCTATTACGAGAAACATACAAAATGTAGAGAATGAAGATTCTATCATGGAATACTAGAGTCTAGAGAACCAGCAAAAAACCCAAAGGTACCATGATAGGTAGAGTTGTGAGGAAGTATCAAGTGGAAGTAGTCTTGAATATAGAAACACAAGTGAGCATGTAAACTGCATTTGACAGTTGAACTATTTTGAAGGAGTTACATTCCATCATGAGGAAGAAATGAAGATGTGGCATAAGTAATCAAATTAAAGTCAGGAGGGATGCTTGAGCAGATGATATACCTTTCGGAAAGAGGAATGGTGGTCAAACCAAGTATACCAGACTGTGTTCAACAATAGCAATTAGACTTAGTATTGTGGAAGCCTAGCAAGGCTAGAATATTTCCAATGGTAGCCTAGGACCTCATATCTTATCAACGGTAGAATGACATCTAGTGGGCAAGATATATGTAAAATAGGGCATTCCATTCAAGATTCAAGTGTTTCTATGGTTAGTTTACCAAGGTAGGATCCCTGTTAAAGAGTTTCTAGCAAGTAGGCACATAATTTCAAATCAACAAGACTTGTCTAATTGGTGTGGGGAGGCTTTCTAATCAACAGATCATATATTATTACACTGTCTGTGCTTAGTCGTTCATTTTATTGGGGTGCTTGTTTAGCTAGTGGAACTTTTTGTTGTTTGTTCCATCTTCCATCATTTGGTTCATGGAGGACTGAATGAAGCGGAGAGCAAACGCAAGCAAAAGATTTGGAGATAAATCGGACCTTGTATAGTTTCACAGATTTGGATGCCAAGAAATGACGTGGTATTCAAAAAAAAGTATAGATGTTGGTTTCAGGTTGTTGAATTACCAGCTCAAAACGTTTCGACGGATAGAGGAGATAGATGACCAAAAGCATCTTAGTATCACTCTTGGAATTTCAACTCCGGCATTTCTTATTGGTGTTCTCGTAACTCCAATACAACGTTTTACAACTTTAGCAACTTATTTTGATCGTAGATCCGCAATCAAATGATGAAAACATTGGTTGGTGCCAGGACCCAATCTCATTGGTCTGTAATTATGTGTCTCAACTTTGTTGAAGGTTGATAAATATATTGCTACTTTTTGCCCAAAAATAAGAGCATCTTACGAATATTGGTTTCATCTTTGTGGAAAAGCTCTTGTTGACTGTTACAGATAGTTTTTAAAAAACGAAACTTGATTTATCGTCAAGAAATTGATATTTATCTATCATAACCATTGCTACAAGATGTCTTAATTTTACAGCATGTATCAGGACTGACGAACAGCAAAAAATTAGTTTCAATAGGAACTGAAATTATCAAAAATAATATGCGCCATTGTGCCATCAGAGAAAAGATTAATTACCTGGAAAGCCCTCTTAGCCTCAGCCACCAACATTTTGAGCTGATGCACCATTTCCCGTCTCTTAAGACCTGCTTCCACTAGCTTGTGCCCATTCTCTTGTTGAAATTTCCATAATCGTGCATAAATTTTGAATACTGGACTTCAAAAGAGCCAATGTTTCCTTTAATTCAAATAAATTGTAACTATATTTGAATCTCATATAATCAAGTGCAATCCATGATAAAGCTTGTCTGATCGAATACAGTTGACAGGAGCAATTAAGTTATCCCGTTACCCCACTTCGCCACTCCTCTCTGGATAGATTTCAGATAAACATCCAAAAACTAACTCATATGATGTCATATCAGAAATATTGAAAACTATGATCCCAGAAAAGAATAATTCAAAAAAGCCAAGTTGTTCTTGATCCTACGCTTATTGAACACAAACTCAAATATAGTAAAGAGGAAAAAGCCGACCTCTGAAATCCCTAATTTTGGAGAACTTTTATTCGGCCTTGGCTACGAGAGCTCAATACCCTTCGGTCGCTTCCACATTCACATTCGCATTCGCAATCGCAATCGCAATCGCAATCGCAGCCGCAGCATCATTTGGGACATTTCTCTCTTCAAACTCTTCCCACTCGCCCCGACAAAATGTTTTTTGAAAATTTTGTCAAATAAATGGGAATTTGAAAGGAGTTTTTAACGAAATTTGATCATATTTGATAATGTGTTTTGTTGACATAAATTGTTATAAAATGCGTCAAATTATTAATGTGTATGTTTTATGGGTTGTTTGTTTACCTCTTAATAGTTTTATCAAAATGTAGCTTCTGAATTACTAATGGATTAATCTTGTTTGGCAAAAAAAAAAGTTCATCTCTTAATAATTCTAAAACCCTCTAAATAATTGTATCATAGGTCTTGCTTAATCATTCAGCATCCTATATTCATTGTAAACAATAACCAAACAATTATATTTCGTTTTACACTGTATCATGGAAGTCTCTTAATCATTCCGACCACTTAAATATTCTGCACAAAACCATTCAACAACTATCAATCAACCCCTTGAAATAAATGTTGTTTTAGAATTATAATAAAATAATAATAAATGACCAAAATAACCTTTCATGATGTATTTACAATTTATTATTTAAATTATAAGTAGTATTGCATTTACCATCCAATCTTTAAACATGTCATTAACAAGATTATCAGTATGATCTATCCTTCCGCACGAAATATCTACATGCAAATAGCATTAGGGTGATCATTTGTATACTGTATATATCAGTATGAAGGGTATATTCGGTCATTGTAAGATTCGACATATGAAATTGTTCATCAAACAAAAATATTGTCGATACATAGCATAAACTTCATTAGATGGAATAAAGTGTCATGCAAGACGATCAATATATCTTTTTATCAACCTTAACCGTTTTCTATATAATAGTGTCTCGTATTTATACAACTCTTGAAGTGGGGTAGGTGGTGAACCAACCATTAAGACGCGTTATTGATTAGGATACAAAGTTAAAATAAGGTTATTTCTTATATTTATATTATATTATTTAAATCCCGAGTCCCATCTCTGAAATTTCTAGATCCATCATTGACCTAAAATAAGTGCGAAATGGACAAAGTTTAACGAGTTTAGACTGACTGATGAAAAAAATCACCGATACACTAAACATGAGCCATGACAAACTTCATTACAGTTTAATGTATATTTTTATCTTGATAAATTGCATCAAAATATAACCAACTTTCAAAATATTCACCTTGGGGTCTGGAAGCAAACTTTTAAAATAATTTAAGGATCCGATTACTTGTTTGCCTACAAATACTGACGTGGCTTCCATAAATTTGACATGACATTACTTCAAAAATAAATGTTTTGAAAGTTGGTTCCCTAAAATAGAAATCAATTCAAAGTTGATTTTATTTTAATGTCATGAGTTATTTTAAGCATGAAATATCACATTAATAGCATCTGAAAACAGATGATTAGTTGTTGCATTAACTTCAAAACAATTAACTGATTGCTAGATGTTGAAGGTTTTTACACAGTTTTGAAATTATATAAATGGAAAATTTGATTAACGTTTCAACTTTAGATATCCTATGTGTTGGACATGATCGAGGTTTACATATCAAGAATAAATTGAGAAACAAAGACCAAACGTTGAGTCGTTTTAGATGAGAAATTAGCTCAAATGACTATTTACCCCATTCAAATTGATCTTTTTACCATTTCTCTTTCGGGTCGACTCAAATATCACTATATCGTTAAAAGATATAAGAAAATATCAAATTCAACTAGTTTATCGTCGTAATTGCAGACTTGAACCGTCGCAATTGTATATTTGTATTTTGAATTTTTGGTTTTAAACCGAATATTACATATGTGAATAGAAGACCAATATAAAAAAAAAATTAGTCATTTAAGTCAAGTACTCGGTTTCCCAACAAACATTTTAAGATGACTTTTTCTAATTATTATTTTTATAAATATTTTATTTATTTTTAAAACCAAAAATAAAATTGTTTTCTTAATAGACTTAAAAGTGTTCACACGACGTCACGAACCCCTTTGACAATAGCTCCTTTTTCCAGAACTAATATATACAAGTCCAGAACAAGGTACAACTTTTACTTCACATTGTACAAGTCACTACAAAGTTCTAATCTGGATTGAGAAAATATGTAATCACCAGTTTCTAAATTTGGAAGGCGGCGGCTGCTGCTGCAACGTCGGTTCCTGTCAACTGCCGAACACAGTCCCACTTCGTCTTCTATATTTTATTTCTTCAATTATTCCAAAATAAAATTATTTTAAAATATTTATATTATAAATTAAATATATAACAAATAATCACCAACCATAAAAGGTGCTTTCTAAGAAATTACGGAAATCCGATTTAATTTGTTATATTGTTGGTGACGTCCAATTTTTTATCAAACAGAACTTCAACGACATCTTCAACAGATATTTTATAAATTTAAAATCAACAGATATTTTATAAATTTAAAATCAACAGATAAATAAATAAAATCTCTAAATTTAGAAAAAGAAAAAATGAAAATATATATTTATATTATATTATAAAGCATTTAACAAAAACTTTTAAAAACTATTTTTATATACAAAGTACTGTTTATTGATGCATATTACTTAAAATTTAATATTACAAGTAAATTGTGCATAAATACAACTTACTAAAGCTTCATATTTAAATTCGTGTAACTAACTGCAGATAAACATAATCAAATATTGGATAGACATTTCATTTTAAATATAAAAAATCTAAAATATAATTGGGATAATTATAGAGTTCTAATAGAATATTTAGTTATTATTTTTTTTAAATTATATTATTAAACCTAAATTAAATTTCTTTGTTACTTAACTAAATTAAATTATAATTAAAACACTTAATTAAGAAAATTACACCAAAACACAATAACTTTTAAAAAGATGAATTTGATACTGATATCGATATTTTTTATAAAAAATTATGATATTTTTAGATTTATGTTTTATTCAAAAATAAAAACATCATTTGTTTTTTCAAAACCACATAAAATTGTATTATATCGACATAACAAAAGAATAAAATGAAACACTGAAATCAAGATGTGTCTCGATGCATTGCACGAGTACCCTTTTAGTTATATTATAAAGTATTTGACAAAAACTCTTAAAAACAATTTTATTACATGAAGTATTGTTTATTAATCCATATTATTTAAAATTTAAGATTACAAGTAAATAATGCATAAGTACAACTTATTAAAGCTACATGCTTGAATTCGTGTAACTAACTGTTGATAAACATAATCAAATATTGGATAAACATTTCATTTTAAATATAAAAAATCTAAAATATAATTAGGATAATCATTGTGTATAACAAAACATTTAATTATTATCTTTATAAAAAAATATTATTAAATAAAAAATAAATTACTTCGTTATTGAACTTAAATTAAATTATAATAAAAAAATTGAATTAAATAAATTACACAACACAACAAAAACTTTTAAATAGTTAATTTGATACTAATATCTATATATTATTTTCAAAATTTTAGGATATTTTTAAATTTATATTTTATTTAAAAATAAAAATATTATCGTGTTTCTTAAAACGACATAAAACCGTATTATAGCATCAATATGAGACAAAATAAAACGAAACATTAAAATCGAGATGTATCTCGCTGTATTACGCGAGTACCCTTCTAGTTACTGTTAAAGTTAATCTTACGTTTTTATTGACATTTTAAGACCGACATTGTTATATTTTAATAGATAAAGGAAATAATTTATTTATTGATTAAAAATAAATTCATTAAAATTATATAGAGATGACTACGTATTCACCTACTTTGCATAAAAATAACTACTACCTCTAAATTCTTTTAAAATGTTTTATGTTGCTTATATTATCGTACATTGATTTAATAAATAAAAAAAAGTTTATATTACTAAATATCATACTTTAAATAATTTATACTATCTTATAAAGCATTTGGCTAAAACTCTTAAACAGTTAAACTCGTTCATCCCTATCCGATTTCATTCCATATCTGAATTCGTGTAACTAACTGTAGACAAACACAATCAAATACAGGATAAACATTTCATTTTAAATATAAAAAATCTAAAATATAATTAGTATAATCATTAAATTCTAACAGAATGCTTAATTATTATCTTTATAAAATTTATTATATTAAACCAAAAATAAATTGTTTTATTATTAAACTTAAATTAAATTATATATAAAAAAATATTCTATATTATAAATCATTTGACAAAAACTCTTAAAAAACATTTTTTATGCGTAAAGTACTGTTTATTAATGCATATTACTCAAAACTCAAGATTACAAATAAATCGTGCGTAGATACAACTTATTAAAGTTCCATATCTGAATTCGTGTAACTAACTGTATATAAACACAATCAAATATAGAATAAACATCTCATTTTAAATATAAAAAATCTAAAATATAATTAGAATAATTATTAAGTTCTAACAGAATGCTTAATTATTATTTTTATAAAATGTTATATTATTAAACCAAAAATAAATTGTTTCATTATTAAACTTATATTAAATTATAAAAAAATCTATACTATATTATAAAACATTTGATAAAAACTCTTAAAAACTACTTTTTATGCATAAATTACTGTTTATTAATGCATATTACTTAAAACTCAAGATTACAAGTAGATTGTGCGTAAGTACAAACTTATTAAAGCTCGATTTTTGAATTCGTATAACTAATTGCGCATAAATATAATCAAATAGACGATAAACATCTTATTTTAAAATATAAAAAACCTAAAATATAATTAGGATAATTATCGAGTTCTAACAAAATAATTAATTATTAT